AGGGCTCGGGGCCCCTCGCTGGGCCCCCGACCGCCCCGGCGGGCCAGTGTGGTGGCGGGGACTCGCTGTCGCCCAAGCAGCACGTCCAAGTGCTCCCGGGAGTGTTTCTTTGAGATCTCACTCTATCGTCGGCGTTTTTTGCAGATGACAAATCTGAAGCACAAAGAGGCTGTCACTTGCGCGAGGTCGCACAGCTGGCAAGAGGAGAGTGTGGGATTCGAACCCCTGCACCCAGGCACTGCGAAGCTGAACTCTTGCATGAAGGTTTACAAACCTCGCCCATGGAGCGCTTACTGTGTACCAGGCACAATGCACTGAATACAGAAACGCCTTCTGAGCCCTTACTACTAGGCACTGTGTGCATTCACTGCATAAATGCTTGCTGATCTCTTGCTCTGTGCCAAAATGTATTTTAACTACCAGGCGCTATACTAGGGCTGTGTTGGGAGCAGACTTTCCCACTTGGCTCCATTCAGTCAATAACCAGCACTTCCTGAGAGCATATGGCCTGGGAGTTCAGAAGAATATCAGTAGAAGGAGGCTCTTCTCTAGTCTTTAAGACGTTTTCTCCTTGCAAAGGCGGGGAGTAGGTGACTACTTCACTAACAAGCCCCCAGATGTGGAAGAGCCAGGTGGACTGGGCTAAGAGAGGAAGAGTGGAAAACAGCAGGAAGATGGAGTGTAATGAAAGATAAGTCCTGGACATGGGAACTGAACTTTGGAACTACCACAAATAACTGCTAAAGCAAAACCCATGAGCAGCATGTTATAATGTGTTTTATCACAGCAGACACTCTGTTTTAACCTACAGACATTATGTTATAATGAATGTACCTCCGTTATTTCACGTAGTCCTTAGAACAACTATATAAAGAAGATATTGTTATTATCCTTAGACTATAGTAAGAGAAGGTTCAAAAGTGCAGTGACATCCCACGCTCTCCAGTTAGTGAGTGGCTTAAACCCAGGTCTATCTGGCTCCACGGCCCAAGCCTGAATCTAGAAGGCTCTGTGCACAGATGACTACAGATGGCTTTGGCACCTCTGGCTGTGTTTCCTTGGCCACTAGAGCTTAACTCTTGGAGCCTCATTTCCTAATCTGTCAAAAAGGGGTTCTAATTGCTGACCTACTGACCTCAGGCCAATTGTGTGCATTTCTGTTAAGATACTGTTGATGAAAATGTTTAGGGAAAAAAAAAAGCCACAGCACTTTATCAGCATGCATGGTGCTACTTGGGCCTGAGCAATCAGTATGATAGTCCATCATATCCAGGTGCATTCATGTCCCAGGAGGCCTTCATCCTGCACACCTCATCACCAAATTCCCATTCTTCAGTAAGATTTTTTTAAAGTCTCTCAAAGCAACCTAATAGAAAAATGAGAAAAGGACATGGACAGTTTAGAGAATAGGAAAGACATATGGCTCTTAAATATACAAAAAGATGCTCAACACTTGTTGCTATGTACAGAATGTTTGTGTCCCCTAAAATTAATATTCTAAAACCTTAATTCTCAGTGTAATTGTATTTGGAAATAAAGCCTTTGGATGGATATTTAGGTCATAAGGATGTACCCCTCATGATTGGATTAGTGCCCTTGTAAGAAGAGACAAGAAGGATTTCAAGCCCTCACACACTCTCTCTCCACACTTCCCCCACCCTTCCCAACCCCTCTGCCCTCCGAAGACATAACCAGGAAGAGGGTTCGAACCAGGAACCAAATTGGCTGGCACCTTGATCTTGGACTTCTCAACCTGTGGAACTGTAAGAAATAAATTTCTCTGGCTTAAGCCACCAAGTCTATGGTAATTTGTTACAGCAGCCTCAGAAATTAAAACTGTAAGAACTATTGACAGTATTTTAAAAGCTGAGGCAACTACGAAGGGAAGCGGAACTCTTAACACACTGTCAGTGGGAATATAAATTAGCACCACAGTTTTGTAGGAGTTATCCTACAGAGATATTTGCACACATGTATAAAGACCGTAGTGCGAGGATGTGAACTGTAGTACTGCTTATGGGGCAAACACAGGAAGCAACTTACCTGTCCATCATTTGGGGAGTAGTTAACAGTATAATCCCATGCAACTATTAAAAATGATGAGTTAGCACTACGTGTACTGACAGAGAATAATCTCCAAAAGAGACTATTAACTGAGACATCCCTGGAAGCTTACAAGAGACAATGGTAACACCAGTTGCCCCTGGGGATGGAGAGAAATTACTTTTCACTGTATTGTTTGCAATTTTTTAACCAAATGTGTGTATGACCTATACAATGCAATAAGTTATAAACAACACAAATCAATCAATAAATGGAAAGCAGAATAATCAGTCAAACGGCACTATAAATGTAAATTAAAAACAAACCACACAGGACAAAAAGGGAAAAAAAAAACCTCATCTGAGGCGATTACCTTGGCTGTCAGAGCCAAGGCCCCAGAATGGAGGAGAAAAGGCCAGAAGTGCAGTGTGCAATTGCCCAGGCAACATGAGTACAGAATGAGGACCCAGGGGAACCGGGTTCTACTCTCAGATGTGCCAATGAGCAACCCTGTTATCTTAGACAAGCCGCTCAACCTCTGTGGGCCTCAGTTTTCTCCTGTGTGAAAAGGCAGCCTGGGTGAGCCTCCAGGTCATTTCTAGCAAAGAAACTCTTTTGACTTGCTGCATTGAGATGACTGATAAAGATCTTCAGAGTTCTTAATAGAGAAAGCAATGGGAATTGATGGAGAGCCTCAGGAGATAAGATGAAAACAAAACAAAACCCGTCACTGGCAACTAGAAAGCAGCGAGATACCATCCACTTGGACTTCTGAGTCCAGTTCCCCCGGGGACCGGGGCGGAGTGGGGTTGAGGGGGGTGCTCATCAGATGCATCCTCTCTCATGTCTGAGTTTCCCCATTTGTGAAAATGCCTACTGCCCAGGCAGGAAACAGACGTGCCCCTCTGCCCAAGACTCAGGCCTTATTCTGAGAATGACAGGTTAGTTCCCTTTCATGGTTACCCACTGTAATGGCAGAGAGAAAATGGAAGCAAAAATATGACCAGAGGAGGAACCACCCTGTTAGAAAGACCACAGGAAGCCACCACAGCTGCAGGGTGGGAGTATTTTGGAGGAGTTAAGAATACTGCTTCAGAGCAAGATATACCTGGGTTCTAATCTCTGCTCTGTCGTGCAGATTTGAGCAGGTCACTTACTTAGCCCCTGTGACCCCCATTTCTTCCAGTGTGTTGACCTCCCAGAGTGATAATGCGGAGCGAGTTCTTAGCACAGTGCATGGCCCCATCAGCAGTGATCAATAAATTACAGCAATCACAATCACTTGGCTATTCTCATACATCGGGAAACAGCATCAAGTCACATCACTTGGAGGGTTTTTTCCTTTTAACCTCAGCTTTATTGGGTTTATTTTATTGTAAATAACAAAAGTAACAGAATTAACTTGCTAGCTGGAGCAAGTTGAACAACACAGGAGTACGGGAAAGTCTTCTCTCCACCACTGAGATAACCAAGCTCGTCAAACTGTTGTCATGCTCGCACCAAATCATGCAATTTAAACACACGTTTCTATGGGATTTTTTTCTTTTTTCTTTTTTTACTTTTTAAGAAAATGGGATCGTGTCACATATATTACTTCGCAAGCTGTTTTTTTCACTTAACCGTTTATCACAAGTGTACCTCTAGGCCTATATATCTAGATCCAACTCAGTCTTTTATTAGTTGTATGGTGTTTCATAGAACACCTGTGCCGTAATTTATCCAATTATTCCCCTACTTCTGAACCTTCGGATGGTTTCCAGTTTTTTCCTACTCTAAATAAGGGTGCAGTAAATATACTTATCCATATATCCTTATGTAGTGACATTTTTATTTCAGTTGAATAAAGTCCCCCAAATAGGATTGCTTTTTTATTGTTAATAAATGTGTATTTTTATTGTTAATAAATACAGCAGGAAGACTTGCCCCAAAGATTGTAGCAATTCACTCTCCCTCAAGCAATACCGGAAGAGTGTCTACTTCCTTTCCACCTTGTCAGCATTTGGATGTTGCCAATCTTTTTAAATTTTTGCCAACCTGATGATGGCAAAATGGTTTCGTTGTTGTTTGAATTTGCTTTCCCAAATTCCAGCGAGGTAGCTCTCCTCTTAGGTTCCTCTTGATGTGTTTTGCT